TTTTACATCTCGACATTTTCCTCTTAAAAAAATGATGTTAACAAATATTTTTAAATTTGGTTTATATTAGTTTAATTGCTTTTAAGGTACATAGACTTTCGTCGTTTTGTTGCCAATGCCACAAACATTAGGCGTTGATTAATGACACCTAGTGTGAGGAGAGATACTCATTTTCTGTTTGGATTTGCATTGGGTGCTAATGTATGTGGCATTAAACATGAGTTAGACAAAGGCCCTCTGCCTAATTATGGTCGGACGTGAGTTTTGTCATATCAGACACGAGAGAATAGGAGACTTTTTGCCTCAATCACATTAGGTGCGGGTAGTTTGGTGCTAAGCGTGAGTGAGATATGAAGCCCCTTCCTCAATGACATCAAGCATCCTATGAATGAAGCCCAAAACTAGGCCTAATAAGCTTAAAACCCAAAAAGTCTTATATTAAGGCCCATAATACAAACCTAAACAACATAAACTCCTATACTACCAAATATATGAGAAAGGTGGTCATCCATGTAAAGTTCAAGTAAAGAGAACCCTAGGCCCACCAAACCCATTGGGCTCACTAAGCTCTGAAACAATCAAAAGCCCAAAGGACCATGAAGCCCAAAACTAGGCCCAATAAGCTTAAAACCCAAAAAGTTTTATATTAAGGCCCATAATACAAGATCAAACAATATAAACTCCTATATTACTAAATATATGAGAAAGGTGGTCATCCATGTAAAGTTCAAGTAAAGAGAACCCTAGGCCCACCAAACCCATTGGGCTCACTAAGCTCTGAAGCAATCAAAAGTCCAAAGGCCCATGAAGCCCAAAACTAGGCCCAATAAGCTTAAAACCCAAAAAGTCTTATACTAAGGCCCATAATACAAGACCAAACAATATAAACTCCTATACTACCAAATATATGAGAAAGGTGGTCATCCATGTAAAGCCCAAGTAAAGAGAACCCTAGGCCCACCAAACCCATTGGGCTCACTAAGCTCAGAAGCAATCAAAAGCCCAAAGGCCCATGAAGCCCAAAACTAGGCCCAATAAGCTTAAAACCCAAAAAGTCTTATACTAAGGCCCATAATACAAGACCAAACAATATAAACTCCTATACTACCAAATATATGAGAAAGGTGGTCATCCATGTAAAGCCCAAGTAAAGAGAACCCTAGGCCCACCAAACCCATTGGGCTCACTAAGCTCAGAAGCAATCAAAAGCCCAAAGGCCCATGAAGCCCAAAACTAGGCCCAATAAGCTTAAAACCCAAAAAGTCTTATACTAAGGCCCATAATACAAGACCAAACAATATAAACTCCTATACTACCAAATATATGAGAAAGGTGGTCATCCATGTAAAACCCAAGTAAAGAGAACCTTAGGCCCACCAAACCCATTGGGCTCACTAAGCTCAAAAGCAATCAAAAGTCCAAAGGCCCATGAAGCCCAAAACTAGGCCCAATAAGCTTAAAACCCAAAAAGTCTTATATTAAGGCCCATAATACAAGACCAAACAATATAAACTCCTATACTACCAAATATATGAGAAAGGTGGTCATCCATGTAAAGCCCAAGTAAAGAGAACCTTAGGCCCACCAAACCCATTGGGCTCACTAAGCTCAAAAGCAATCAAAAGTCCAAAGGCCCATGAAGCCCAAAACTAGGCTTAATAAGCTTAAAACCCAAAAAGTCTTATACTAAGACCCATAATACAAGACCAAACAATATAAATTCCTATACTACCAACTATATGAGAAAGGTGGTCATCCATGTAAAGTCCAAGTAAAGAGAACCCTAGGCCCACCAAATCCATTGGGCTCACTAAGCTCTGAAGTAGTCAAAACCCCAAAGTCCCACGAAGCCCAAAACTAGGCCCAATAATATTTGTTAACATAATTTTTTTAAGAGGAAAATGTCGAGATGTAAGAGTAAAACTAACAAATTTTAGCAATGATTTAAATGAGAGAATATTATATTTATAGTAGAAAATTTTGTTTGGTTTTATTTTCTAATTAGAATTAGAAATTTACGCATATAATTAATGTAAATCTCTAATTCTAATAGAAAAACATTATCAATTGAAATACTATACTTAAATTTTAAATGTAATTTAGTATAATGAAAAAAAATATTATTTTGCTTAAAAAAAGTTTGTATGACAAATATGTAGTTAGAACGGCTCGTTCCGAATTCAGAACAGCCCGTTCTGGTTTAACTGGTCATTTTTTATTTTCGAAACTGGAACGGGTCATTCTGGTTTATTCGTTATGTGTTATTTTTTTCATCTGGAACGGCCCGTTCTGAATGTAGAACTGCCCGTTCCGAATGTAGAACGGCCCGTTCTGGTTCAACTTCCATTGTGTTATTTTTGAATCTGGAACGGGCCGTTCTAGTCCATTCGTATGTGTTATTTTTTTCATCTGGAACGACCCGTTCTGAAGGTGAACACTGACGTGTGCCAATTCGTAAATAAATTCGAACAGATGTTTTTTTTGGGTAAATTTTTTTTAAAAATTATTTTATTAAAAAATTCAGAAACTTAGACCTTGTGTGATAGGGTGTATGATAATTAGTAAGATTAAATGCATCTAATGGTAAATATTCATGGTGCACCCATACACCACTTGTACTAGTGATCTATCAGAGAATTTACCGAAGGATTAACTTTTAAAAAAAATAATTTCTTCTAGTGTCACAGTCTTAAGTGAAGGATCAATTTTGTTTATTTTTGTAATGATGCTTTGTCCAATAATATCATGTTTATTTACTCTCTTTTTTTCTTGTAGTGACATTGTCCCCAAGTGAGGGAATATTATCTTTAAAAAAAATTGACGTTGTGGTTCTTTATATAAACTTTCCACCACATTGTAAGTTATGTATGTTTATTTGTAAGACTGAATGGTAAGAATATGATACATTTTATTAAAATTAATTGTTGTTAATAGTTTAAATTTGGGTCTTTTTTTTTTATTTTTATCTTGTAGATACTAGGATATTATGGATGAAATTATGGGTGTTTTTATATTAGAATTTTTGAAGTCTAAATGGTATTATATTTAATGGTCCAAAGAAAGAAATTTATATTAAATGCGGTGTATTTTTAGATGTTTTGAAAAGAAATAAAAGATTAAATTGTCTAAGAAAGGATCAAGTTATATTATCTTTATAACATTATTTTTTAGCTGAAAATAAATATGAAGTAATGAAATTAAGTGATGATGATAACATTCGGTGGTGCATGATAGACATGTTTCAAAGCTAAAAAAAATTATCAATAACGAAATTATACATTGAAATTGGTGTTGAAAGTATATCTTCAATTCCATTACAAAATTTGGCACTTTGCCTGGTTAATGAACAATAATTTTAATGTTTGGAAAATATGACAAAAGAAGAAGATCAAGATTATTATGTTTCTTTTTCATTTCAAAAAGGTGACAAATCAAGTGAAGATCAAATAAATGATTGTCATCATCTGATGATATTATTATTGAACTTATTTGTGTGGGTTGTTTTGATGAAGGTAATATTTTAAATAAAAGTTATCGATATTATTAATCTTTTAATTTTTTATTATTGTTGTTTGTTCATTATACTAATATAAATTGGAGTTATTCAGATTAATAAGGAATTTTGAGATGAAATTACAAAGTACTTGGTCAATTATTTGATTTATATATTGGTATCGGGTTTGAAAATAAAGATATTGTAAAAATAATATGGTTAAATAAAATGTGATAAAAAAATGCATCAAATTTTTTATGTAGTTGAATAAAAAAAATAAAGTGGGTTTTTAAATTATTAATAGTTGTTTCCGTTTGTGTGCATCAGAGTTGTATCCACTATTCTTAGTTGATTTATTAACATTGATAAAGTCAAAAGAAAAATCAATGTTAGAAATGTCTTTAATGCATATTTATTTATTCATCCATAATTCGTATTGAGATGAAGATGATATCAAAATTAACGTAAAAACAACTTATAATTGTTTTCATTGGTGTGCATCACAGTTATATAGCATATTCAAACACAATTTTTTTTTAACATTTGAGTAAATTTTAATTTTTTTCAAAATCAATAGATATTATCTAATCGTGTTTTTACCGTCTTCAAATATTATGATTTTTTGGTAGACTATAAATATTAAAAAGAAAAAGTAAAGTCACGTATTTGACAGAAACCAGGTGAATAAGTGGGTACATATATAGATCATTTGTTTTGGTACAAGTATTAAATACTTTTATGATTTCGTAATGCTTAATGAAAGAAACCAATAATTTCTGGAAATTTGTGAGTATGTAATTGGAAGAAACACAACCATATGAGTCAGGCTGCAGAACCCAAAAGAAATTCCTAATACCACTGACATCATCAGTTCCATAGTGATCATCTGACTAAAACAAGAGAAAAGAGATGACACAAAATGACAATGTCTCATCCTCCACACAAAATGACAAATAGACATGATCAGTTCCTCGGTTACAGCATTGAGGTCCAATCCTCACCCCTCACTTTCTGTCCAAAGTAAAATTGCTAAAAACCACATCCAAATGGAGAACCTCACTGCTCACTTCACATGCTTTTCCTTTTCTAGTGTCTCAAGTACTTTCAACTTCAAACAAGGTGGCAAAAGTGTTGCCTTAACGCGCCCCAAGAGCCTTTCACTGTTTGCTTAAAACCGGGAAGCTATCCACAAATTTGGCACAAAAAAAGACTTTACAACGCGCGTGGAGACAACCCACTGGGTTATATGTCAATGTGGCAATGGAACGTGCAAAAGTAATGAGGTATAGAGAGAATACACCACGCCCCATTACACCAGCAGAAATTATTAGATACTTTTAAATCATTATTTTTTATCATAATGATGTGTATTTAAGTTTTTAGTCTGTATAAAAATTAATAAAACTTTATAATATGTTATGAAAAAATTAGTTAATAATTATGTGATCATAAGAGTTGGATATATATAATGTCTCTCACTCATCATATCACACCACACACCACTTACCTGCTCTTTCTCACATTCAAATGCAAAGCCCGCCACCCTTTTCTTCTACCCTGATGTAGCAAAATTCAAAACTTACTTTTGTGTCTTCCCAATTCCCATTGCCCTTTTCTCTTTGGAAACAAGGCCTTTATCATTGGAAGTTTGAGATTCCAACACCCCAATTCCCTTCTCTTTTTGTTTTTTTAAATTTAGTTTACTGCTTTTCTTTTCACTTTATCTGTCTCTTTTGTTTCCTAGATCATTCAAAACATGAAGAAGCTCTCAACTTCTTCTCATGCATCCCCATCATCTTCATCTTCATCCATCACAAGCTTGGAACCAACTATGTGCACCTCCAAAAGCACCTCTTCAGGGTGTCTCACTTCCATCTTGCGCAAGATTCTTTGCTCTGATGGCCTTCCAAGAGACCAAACTAGAGAACTTGATTCACTTGACAAAGATCAAAACTTGAAGGGTAAGCAAAATGTTGAGACTAGTACTACTTCTACTACTATTACTACTCCTGGGATAGTGGCAAGGTTAATGGGTTTGGAATCAATTGAGATGCCTTGTGGATCAAAACCAAATTCACTTTCTCGAAGCAGATCCATGAATTCTGTGGACTGTTTGGGAGAATTCAATGGAATGGAGGTTTTGCATAAGAGGGTTAAGTCCACCTTGTCTTTTAGGGAGCCTCCGACTTTTCTTTTGCATGAAAGTGACAAGTTTTTGGTGCTTAGTTTTGAAGGTAAGGGTGAGAGTAGGGAATTCAAGTCCAGTGGGAGAAAGAGAGAACAGGGTTGTGAAGAATTGAAGCAGAAAGTGAGATCAGAAAGAGGTGAGTTGAGGGAAAACAAAAGAGAAAAGGTGTGTGATGAGAAGGTACGGAAACTTGGGGGAAAAAGGGTGTCTCATGTGTCTTGTGGGAATGTTGGAAGTGATGGTAAACTCAAAGAAATCACCAACACTATGCGTACTTCCAAGGCTTCATTTGAAAAGAAGAAGGGTTTTGATTATGAAGCAGTGAAATTGTCACAGAACATGAAGGGCAAGGAAGTGGCGGTAGGTGAAAAACAGAAGAGGAGGAGAAGGAAGAAGAAGAAAACAATTTGTCAAACAGAAAACAAAGTAGAAGTTGATTGTAAGTCAGAAGATTCAAGCCCTGTTTCTGTCCTTGATTTTGAGCGTGAACTTTGTGGAACAGGTTTGTTTCCTTTGATAATTTGAATTACACTTTGCTTTCACCATAGTGTTTAAATTCATGTTAAATCATCCAACATCAAGAATACCTGTTAACATGATTTTAGGTAAATAAATGTTCACGTGTTTATTCAAATTGAATCACTTTACATTAAGATTAATTTTAACTTTACATAATCAAATCTCATTAGTACACACTTTGTTAACTCAATAGATTATGTTCAACTTTTGAAGTTTCTTAAAGGAATTTCAACTCAACTAAATGCATGGGTACATTCTTTTGCAGTTGATTTGAGTTCAAGGAGAAAGTTGTCACCAAAGCTTGAAAGTGATCAGCACATTCCTGTGAATTCTGATGATAACTTAGTGATTGATGAGAAGAAGGATAAGGCAATTGACAACAACAACAACAAAAATGAAGGGTCAAAGAAAAAAGAGAAGAAGGTCCAAGATTATATAGATATTTGTAGTGAAGTTTGCCGAATAGTTGATGATGAATTGGCTGCATCAAATCAGAAACATATATGGACGAATAAACAAGGTGATTTAGGTGGTATAAGTGCAGATTTAGAGTCAGAAATTTTTGATTACTTGTTAAATGAGCTTGTGGATGAACTTGCTGGCATCCATTGACAACTTAAATTTGTAAATTTAGCATAGTATTGATAAAGTGTATAAAGATTTAAATTCCTTGCTTTTTCTCTGTTTTAATTTTGTCCCTATTACATAGTGCTGCATCCCGGAAGATTCTTTGTCTCTGCTTTTGCTGAATTTATAGTGCTGTGCTGTGAGATATGAGCAAAGATTTAAAAGCAAATTGATCTAGGGAGACAACAAAATGCTTTTAGTTTTGGACCAAAAGCTCATGGATGTACGTGCCTTAATAGTAATTATAGAATAAAATTATATCACATTTTCCTTCTCAAATATGCATCCCAGTTATATTCTTTTTCTTTCTATTTTTTTTTTTAAAAACCATGTTTTCTTTGCTTGAAAATTACTATGTTACTATTGAGTTCACGTGAACTAGTTATTTACGCTTTCTATAGTTAAGAAAAGAAATCACCGCATGTTCAGTTCTGCGTTGTATTCCATCTAACACACCACACACGTCCACGTCACAATAGAAGTTACATATACTAGTATAATAGTATTTTCCATTTTCCACGTGTATATTTTGATGGGTATATTTTATGACTCTCAAGCCTTTTATTTTATAAACAACTTCACAATAATGAGATATTGTCTGTTTTAAACATAAATTCTCACGATTTTACTTTTGATTATCACCTAAAAAATCTCTTAATTATTGAAATATGTGTATTTTATAAGTTATTTTTTTTTATTATTTTTTTTATGTGAGGCCTTATTTGAATTCCAACATATTTTACGTATTTTTAAGTACAAACTAAGGAAGGATAAAAAAAAAAGACAAAAGAGAAAATGAGAAAAGCTTGAGTAAATTTTTTATTAATTTGGATTTAGAAATAAAAAAAGAAAAATTAATTTCTTTTCTCTTATTAAATTATAATATCTATTCTATTAAAAGAAAATTTCTTTATTTTATTTGGTATATACATTTTTGGATAATTTTGTCCCTGTAAATAACTACTTCTCAAATTATTCTTTCTCTCCACAATTTTAAAAACTACTCTTATAATTATAATTATTTAAAAATTGGTCAAATTCTAATTGTTAACTGCTCACTTTTATTTTATTTATATTTTTTTTGCATAATTGTGTATTATAATTGTACAATTTTGATCCTCAAGATTTTAATTGGACAATTTTAATTTATCATGTATAAAAATTGTATGATTTTAATCTATCAAGTATATAATTTTTTATCTATTTAAGTTAGATATTTTATTCATATATTAGATGATATCTATCTATTGTTAATAAAATTAATAATATATGTAACTTAAATAGATTAAAAATTGTATAATTTTGATACTTTAATGACTAAAAATCACATAATTGTGGTACTTGCAAAACTAAAATTACTTAATTAAAATTTGAAGAACCAAAAGTTTACACTTGCAATACTTGAGGGATTAAAATCACACAATTATAATATTTAAGTGATCAAAAATGTATTTAAGCCTATATTTTTGTTTTAAAATACACAAAACATACATTTAAGTCTATAATTTTTTTATAAACCTCAACTTTTTTGTGAGTCAAAAAATTTCAACTCAACTCGACTCATTATAGGTTGATATGTTAAATAAGTTAATTCAATAAGTTTTTTTAAAAAATTAAATAATGTTTTTATTTTTTTTCTATTTTTTTAATAAAAATCACTTTTTTATCAAGTCATTAATTGGTTCAAATATAAATATAAAATAAAATATTATTAAAATAAAAAATTTAATTTTATTCATTGAAATATAATAATTTTATTATATTTTAATTATAGGTGAATCAAACCAATCAATTAGAAATAAACTCGCTTGTGTGATTAGTTAATTGTTGGATTGAAAGTGAGTAAAGATTATTCTGACCTAGGGATGACAATGGGGCCCCATGGGAGCGGGTAATAGTAAATCTGCCCCCACCTCGCTGGATAAAAATTGATCCCTTACCCATCCCATATCTGTGCGGGTATCCATTAAGCGGGTATTCATGAATTTCTTGAATACCCACGGATATCCATGGATATTTATAAATTTTTTAAGAAATTAAAAATATTATATTACAAATAATTTTAAATTTATATTTAATGTCATTAAAATATTAAAAATAAAAATTTAATATTAATTTTGAACTTGTATTTAACGTTAATTTTGTTGAAATAATAATAAAAATGTAAGATAATCAATAACTTAAGATATATCAATCTCACAAGTAAATTAAAGTCTCGTAACAAAGTTACAATAATTCAATCTCATAATTCCAAACGAAAGTAAACAACTTAAAATACATAAATCTTATTGGTCCAATCAAAGTTAAAAAATTAATCAAATTACAGCCAATATAATTCTATAACATGCTTAATACATGTTGGTAACTTATTCATCAACCTCACTTTTGTAAGAAAATAGGATGAGAGAGTGTAATTTTAGGATTATGTGATACAAGGATAATTAGGATAATTAAGATATTATTAAATGGGTACCCACGGGTATGGATATCATCATATTCGCTCCTGCCTCATTTATAAATGGGTAAAAAATTATCCGTTCTCATTATTTACGGGTACCTAATTAACCTATTCATTTATTATTCATAACAAATTTTATCTATAAATACTCGCGAATGGGTATATTTTTGTCATCCCTATCCTGACCCGACTAGAAATTATATATGAACCTAAATTTTCATATATAATTTCATTATGATCATACGCGAAACTTTGAAAATTAAGGAATAAAATCCATAAATTTGAAAAATATAGATGAAAAAAAATGTAAGTGAGCGTTATTTTTAAGAAACTCGTATTGATTCTAATATGCCTAAAAAAAATAAAATCAGAATAAGAAACATAAGGAAGAAAAGTAATACGAGCAAAACTAATTCCAATATTGTGACAAAATTTAAATATAAATGCATTACATATATATATATTAAAAAAATTAGTTGTTTAACATAAAAATACTGAAATATTAAATGAACTATACAATTGTTTAAATTGCAAAGCAACCAATACTAAAATGTCTGTAAGAACCTAAGGGGGGTGTATTGGATTAAGATTTTAAAGGACTTTTTGGCCGTTCTAACTACATATTTGTCATAAAAACTTTTTTTAAGCAAAATAATTTTTTTTTCATTCTACTAAATTACATTTAAAATTTAAGTATACTTTTTCAATTGATAATGTTTTTCTATTAGGATTAGAGGTTTACATTAATTATATGCGTAAATTTCTAATTTTAATTAGAAAATAACACCAAACAAAATTTTCTACTATAAATATAATTTTCTCTCATTCAAATCATTTCAAAAATTTGTTAGTTTTAGTTTTACATCTCGACATTTTCCTCTTAAAAAAATGATGTTAACAAATATTTTTAAATTTGGTTTATATTAGTTTAATTGCTTTTAAGGTACATAGACTTTCGTCGTTTTGTTGCCAATGCCACAAACATTAGGCGTTGATTAATGACACCTAGTGTGAGGAGAGATACTCATTTTCTGTTTGGATTTGCATTGGGTGCTAATGTATGTGGCATTAAACATGAGTTAGACAAAGGCCCTCTGCCTAATTATGGTCGGACGTGAGTTTTGTCATATCAGACACGAGAGAATAGGAGACTTTTTGCCTCAATCACATTAGGTGCGGGTAGTTTGGTGCTAAGCGTGAGTGAGATATGAAGCCCCTTCCTCAATGACATCAAGCATCCTATGAATGAAGCCCAAAACTAGGCCTAATAAGCTTAAAACCCAAAAAGTCTTATATTAAGGCCCATAATACAAACCTAAACAACATAAACTCCTATACTACCAAATATATGAGAAAGGTGGTCATCCATGTAAAGCCCAAGTAAAGAGAACCATAGGCCCACCAAACCCATTGGGCTCACTAAGCTCTGAAACAATCAAAAGCCCAAAGGACCATGAAGCCCAAAACTAGGCCCAATAAGCTTAAAACCCAAAAAGTTTTATATTAAGGCCCATAATACAAGATCAAACAATATAAACTCCTATATTACTAAATATATGAGAAAGGTGGTCATCCATGTAAAGTTCAAGTAAAGAGAACCCTAGGCCCACCAAACCCATTGGGCTCACTAAGCTCTGAAGCAATCAAAAGTCCAAAGGCCCATGAAGCCCAAAACTAGGCCCAATAAGCTTAAAACCCAAAAAGTCTTATACTAAGGCCCATAATACAAGACCAAACAATATAAACTCCTATACTACCAAATATATGAGAAAGGTGGTCATC